TCTGTGGAACCCCTATAGCACGTCTGGCACCTATCACTCAGTCTGACACATTATATTTTTCTTCTTTATCAACCTATACTTTGTCATTTCCTTCCTTAACTCTTAAGTTACCAACCCCCTCTCCTCAGGGTTAAGCAGTGCTAAACTGGTTAAGAGACTGTAGTGGAGGCTGATATCAAATACATGCCATGTCACACGGGCACTTTGTGGGACTGTTGTTGCCGGGCTGATACCAGTCATCTAGACACTGCAGAGCTTGGCTCTCCAAGGGGAGGGAGAGAGGTGTAGGTGTTTGTGTGCCTCATTTCCTCCATTTGTCCTAACTCTTTCTGTACCCTTATTACCAAACCGTGTGTTATATCAGACCGAATTGTCTTTTCAAGTATGCATGTGTTCGTTTCCTCTGTTTCCCGGTCTCCTTCTATCCCTCTCTGTACCACACAACGTGTGTGTGTGTGTGTGTGTGTGTGTGTGCCAGGCAGGTCGCTACCATGGCGCCCCTGCAGCTCCAGGCCTTGTTGATCACGGCACCGTGCCCAAGGGTTTCCATAGCAACGGCAGTGGCAGCAGACAGGGCTGTGTGCGTCTGTGTGTAGAAGTCTGCGTTTTTGTGTGCGCGTGTGGGCCCAGAGTGGTGGGCAGCAGGCTGTGAACTCAGCAGGCCTTTAGCCGGGCAGCAGGAGAGGGACGAGCAAGTTAGCGCAAAGAAAGTGGCCTCTATTTCAAAAAGTTAGGCCTGTCTTTTACTATTTGCACAGTTTATTATATAGCAGTCTATTGATATACATGCTTACTTTGAAAGATTGGTTTGAAAGCCCAGAGTACACAGGGACTAAAGCATCAGCACAGTGGCTTAGTACTTTAACCACATTTCTTGCAAGTCATATCTCAAATGGTGCAGCAATTTGCATTTAAGTACAGTTTTGATTTCAGCTGCCAGAATGTCTTTTCCATGACTGAGATCTTGACTGCGAAAGGAGACAGGAAATGAACCAACTGCAGAGTTTTGATGAGCTTTGTCTTGCAGTATGTACGATGAGATTTTGGAAAAAGACACGTCAATTACTCCTTACACTTTGGCCCAGACCTCGATTTTTCAGAAACTCAGAAATGTAGAGAAATTTAAACTTTCTTTAAGAAAAAAATCTATTTCCTGAAGACACACCCAGTCAGGCTGTATTGTTTTTTTGTTGTTGTTTTTTTGCAGATTCCTTAAACTGTAGCTTTTGACTCTTGGACTCTGTTCCCCTTGGCTTCAAGGATTCATGATACCTAAAACAACGTCTCTCTTCAGTCTGAAAGAAAGGGCATTTCCTTTGGTGGACCAAGCTCTCATTCTCTGAAATAGCAAGCAGCGAGCGAGCTGTTCCTGCATGCTTAAAGTCAAGTCGCCATACATAAGCTTTAAATCCCAAATCACACAATATCCCCTTGTTTTTGGACCAACTATAATTTAATTTTGCAGACTATAATTCCATTGTGCAGACTAAACCTGCTAAGCCCAGTTAGCCACAAAAAAAGCAACTAAATGAATCCAAGACCAGATGTTAAGTTTATTGAGCAGTAACAATGTTATAGGCTGAAGCTGAATGTGTTCAGTCTCAAGAGTATACCCTCATTATCGAGATGGGTGTCCTCCACTTTTGAGAAAGTAATGTTGCTAGCGGGAATTATATTTTAGATAACCAACAGTATTTGGCTATGGAAATCTCACAATTCAAACATACTATTGCTAGAATAGTGTATGTGAGTGTTGTCATTTACTTTTCATCCTAACCTTCTTTGGTGATTAATTTCCTGAATATTCTGGCTTTTAGCCTTTTGCCTGTGCTTTACATTCTGTTGACTGTTAACAGCAAGTCAAAAAAACACAATTTTACAGCGCAGCATACCTACTATGTCAGAGTCTGAAGGAAATAAACACCTGGATGAGATAGAATTTTCCACAACTAAATGAAAACAAAACTGAGATCTATTTTGTGGCAAAGTGAAGAGGGTCAGCATTGGAAAACATATTGAGACTTGGACTCTAACAACCACTGACCAAGTTGGCAACCTTGGCAACACATCTTTGATATGTCCAGAGAAAGAAAACATAGCAGAGAAGCAGCATTTAGCAGTTAGGCTGCAAACAAGTGCAACAGACTGCTCGGGGAGATTAAACTTTCACCAGACGTAGACATTTTTAAATAATTTTCTTTTAGTGATTTTCTATGATTTTAGGATTTTTGACACACGAAATGTGCAAAACAACTACATTTGGCATATCTGATTTTGATCTCCTTTCCATTAACAAAGGCAGTATTTGTGTTTGTTTACATGATCAACAGTGACATTTTTAACTCCATTCCATGAATTGTCTCATTGTCTTTTATTGTGTAACATTTAAACATCTTCAAAGCCAACAAACTGCATTTACTTTTCAGGATGCATAGTTTGCCAATGTAATTTTTTTCAGAGCAGAAACAAGTGTTTTGTTCTGATATAAGCTTTTATTTTTTTGTGGTGTCTTAGTATCTTTTCACTGGCAGATCAGCTGAAAAAGGGCTGTTATTGGGTCAGTGCTTTTGTGTATGTGCTCTCTTTTTTCCCCCCATGCTATTTTCGCTAATTTGTTGAGTTTATTCAATATTGCAGCCCACAGTTGAGGAAATTCCTAGTCTTTGATAGAGCCAGATATCCCATCCTTCCGGTGCTTTTCAGTACAGCTGTATAATAAACACAGAGAATCATATTTTCCCAGGTTCATATTGGGGGTTTTGCATGTTTTCATTCTTCTGTCGTCCTTTTATTTTGATCAGCCATTAATGATACTCTAAATTTATAGATTTGAGGCCAAAAAAGTGTCAAAACTGACTTTTTGTACTGACATAAATAGTTTCAAATTCATGATTCTCTCATCAAATAAGCAAAACAGTGTCTTTGAAGGCAAAGACTGGATGTATCCACGCTTTGCCTTCACCTTTCTCTGGGATGTATCCCAGAAAATTGGCCACGTCTGATTCACATCAACACATACTGAGCAGTCCTTTAAAGGCTGGTGTCTCCTAACAGTTGCAGTTGTACCACATATTCAGCAAAGGGTTAAAGTGGACTGAGTTCGGCTAGTGGCAGATTTCTGGCCGCTGATTTTTCAAGGAATCGAAAGACTATACGAGTCACAAAGTTGACCTAAAATTGAAACATCCAATTTGATTATTTCTGTGGTCGTCAGTGTCGTAAATGCCTGATCCATGAACCACCGCAATTGGCCCATCTTTTTGTTAGGAGCCCATTTGCTATGGAAAACCAACTAGACTGAGTAAGGGTGAGCCCATTGGAACCAAGTAGAGCTGAGAAGGTACGAATGGAAAAGCTTCATATCTGTGTCTTCACTTTAGCAATCTCTTTTTCTCATTTTGTCAAGGCTTTGCTTGTTTCATTGTAGGTGACTCACTGTGACAAACTTAGTTTCAAACTCTTTTTTTTTATTGAAGTGCAAAGGTTTTTGCTGACATTTTCTATCGGTGTGTTATACACATACATTTAGCTTCTGCTGCTTGCATAAAATAGACGTCTAAAGTATTTCGAAACCGCTCGGTTCGTGTCGGTTGGATTTACCGTAACAGCTTCCCTCCCTGCTTTTAATGCGGTTAGTTTCAGTTGGCTTCGTTCCTCTCAGCCCTTCCCACTTGTCCCCTTGTGGCTCCTGTGGTGGGGCAGAGACAGGTTAGGGTAGATCTACATTTCAGCTAAAACACTGCTCTAACACATCTTGATGCAATTCAATCTTGATGCATTAATGAGACCCATATATGTTGAGTTTAAAATGTTCCTTTTCTCTCTTTCAATTAATTGTATATAATTATAAATTGTCCCTGTTGTCCCTGGTGGATTGTGGGTGAACCATTGGGATAATTAGCTATCAGATTTGTGTCCTTACAATTTATACTGAATTGTACACTGTCTTGTTGTTCTTGCAGGGCTTGTTACACACTCAGAGACAGAAACTAAAACATTCATAAAGTGTATGACCATGTGATTCAGCGGTCATTGTGTGCCCAGACAAGGAAAAGTGACTTTCCAGCAAGAGTGTTGATACAGGAATGAGACTAATGGGAGAAACTAAAAGTACAAAACAGTGAGAAATACTGGGAAGTAATGACTGAAAGTTGACGGAAGGCATGAACGGTTGAGACACAAGGAAAGACTTGTGTGAGTGGATAAGTAGGATGGAGTTTTGCGGGTTTGTGAGAGATGGACCGAATAACTTCAAACAAGAGGAGAAACAGTCTGGGATGAGCAATCTAGAAGGGTTTGGACAATGAACACTTATCATTATCCCCAATGGTGCACTGTATCTGGTCGTTTTAGATTGGCACTGATGGGTTTTGTGTGGGTGTGTATGGGTATGTGTGTGAGCAAGAGCATGTCACAGAAACACTATTCAGTCATTCAGCATTGTTACAAAGAACCCAGTGTGTGCAGAGACTGACTATGACTTTAAGCATTTCTCTCTTGAATGTTCAGCAAACACATCTGCATACTGTAAAAATCTCATGGACTCACCATCAGTCTGAGAGAGGCTTTTTAGAAGATTTGAACCTGTGCTGCCCCCTAGTGTTGTACATATGTTTAAAAAATATTGAAACAAACTTTTTCAGATTTACTTCAATCAAAGTAGAGTGAACATCGGTAAGTTTAAGACTCTATTGGATAGAAATCAGATTCTCAGCCTTAATCAGACATCTTTTTCCCCTGACTTTGAACTTGTTTTTATCATTTTTGTCATTTATTCACGACGATCTCTTACTTAAGTCAACAAATGCCTCATCAATGTTGATAATCACGAGATGAAGCTCTTTTCTAAATCTCTTTTCCATAGCTGACCTTTAAATGTCTTACAGTTGGCGTTAATGTCAACCTCCTAATATCCTTTTCCTTTAATGACGAACTTATTCCTGAATCCCGTATGAATAATTGATGCCATTTCTCCTCTCTCATTTCTGGTCTCTGCGCAGCTGAACTGGAGTTTGTTCAGATCATCATCATCATCGTGGTGATGACAGTGATGGTGGTGGTAATCATATGCCTGCTTAATCACTACAAGCTCTCCACTTGGTCCTTCATAACACGGCAAAGCCAGGCGCGCAGGCACAACCACGCCCTCCAACAGGTCAGTAGCCCCTTTTTCTTGTATAAGAAATGAGATGTTGTCTGGGTCTTTTTCTTGGTGGGAATTTAGTTAATTTAGCTGTGCAATTTACTCAGCATTCATGCCAGTAACATTTCAATCCGAACTAATGACTGAAGCTATCCTCATGTTTTCATCATCTCTTCATCTATTCTAACTGAATGTCCATTGTGACATCATATATCTCTATTTGTGAAACAGGGCATGCACAGCAAACTAGTCAGTTCCCAGTAAAGCTTTGTTTAAAAGTAATTTTTACTTGTTACTAGTTGTCCCAGTTCCACAGAGGTAACAGCTTGGCTTTTGTCTGTAAGGTGAACTGGCAGAATAGATCTATTCAGACTAATCTCTGTCAGGCCTTGATGTTTAATTCACTCAGGTCTATCTAGACATTTGTGGCTATGGCATCATGCCAAGATGTAAAATTCAGGCACAAACACACCAGTTTCCACATATAAATATACAAAACAAAACTACATACAATGAAATAATGCTCACAAACGATATATAGTGCAGATTTCTGGATCTGTGTTATCTTCAGTCCACCGACCGAAAATAATTTGTCAGCTTGGCTTTTTTCATACACACATTTTTTCCTTTCAGTTTTAAAGTTGTCATCTCATATTCAATTTCTTATGACTATGACTCCTACAAAAAAGCACGTAACAGAGATAGTGCAGTTTAAATAAATAGCCAATCTATTTTGCCACTAAAAAAGATAGACAAACATAATGTACCCATGTAAATGTGCTTATCCAGTTTGAATATACACAGGAGAGAACCTTTTTGTACTTTTATTGTAGCTTCTATCATGTCTTGAGCCATCAAGCTGCCTAGCCTTTGTCATCATTGCATCTGAACAGGGAAGGATTTAAAATCATTGACTTATGTCTCTTAATTAAGAAGCTTTTTTTTGTTCTTCCCTTTTTATGTTATGTTTAGAAAGAAATTGTCATCTTTACAGATGTCTTGCATCAAAATCTCCCACAATGCAAACAGCAATGTAGCTCAAAATGTTAATAACAATAGCAAAGGGTATACTTTAATATTGTATTCAAATTTTCAAACCACTGTCTTTGTCTCAATGTGTAGGATGGGTGTCTGTGGCCCTCGGACAGTGGCTCTCGACAAGATGCCTCTGAGGTAAGATCCCTGCCAGACTCACTGTTGTTGAACTTATAACCCAGTGCAGATGTTACAAAAACTGCCACACTTACATATCATGCCAAATCAATCACTTTTTTCCTTTTTGAAGTAATCCAAAATGTAATCTACAAATATAAAATGTCATCACTTAATTTTAAGTCGTCTCAACAACTTTTTACCAGCTTTTGTTGTGGTTAACTGTAAGGAAAGAGCCTGTTAATACTGATTTATGCTTCTTTTAAAACTAAAAGTTGTATCTGGGGCAAAAGATTTATCAGATGTTATCACTTAGATATTCCTATGAGGGGCCGTTAGTGCCATTATTCCGAAATAAATGCTATTTGCTCTCATGCACAATACTACATACTACCACAAAAACTTTTGCAGGGATTTTAGTTCATGCCTCATCTAGTTTTTTAGAAGTAAAACTATGGTAGTGAACTGCTCTGAGTGCATTTTGTTTTGTGAAATTGAGGATAGGCAACTCAAGTAAGTTTTTAAGTAATTCAAGACATATTAGTGGTAGCGTTACTGGTGACACATAGGTAACACACAATACCTCTTTCGTCTTGTCTAGTGTATTTACAATGATCATTCTTCATTCTCTTTTTACTGTTTGATAACAAATATCACATTTGCCTTCATCATTATTATTTTTCAGGATGTCACAACAGATATATTCTTTAATTGCCTGCCTTAATAATTTCCCTCTGGGATTATTAAAGTATTTCTGATTCTGACTACACATAGTTGACCTTGTGTCCCGTGTTAAACTTCTCAAACTACAGATATACACCAAAAGTTTTTTTTTTTCTTTTTGGTTAGAACGACATCATTGATAAAGTTGGTATCCAAAGCCCCTTTCAGATGCACAGAAACACACACACATACAAGTTTTCCTTGGGTTGTTGAAGATGGCATAGTTTTTTTGGATCAATGATTCTTGTTTATATTTTGCATCTCACGTCTGAAAAAGCCTTCTAGAGCATGCATTTGTGGTACTCAATGGTGAAATCTAAATGTTTGAATTGTATCTTTATGAAGTACATATCTTTGATTCTCCTCAGCTCTCCTTTGTTTCTTTGTCTTACTTTTGGTCCCGTTGTAATTGTGATTACCAAAATACACTAAGGGCACTGTGAGCCTGACATTTGAGTTTAAGATTCCCATAAATTATTTATCCCACAGGAATTATTGCAGGATTTTACCAGGTACAACTCCCAGCCCTCTGAAATCCCTTTCAGAAGACAGAAGAATCATTTTGCTTGTTCTCTAAGAACCACAGTTAGAGAATTGCATATCAATCCCTGTACAAAATAACCTGGTAGTAGGTTTACTTAATGCTTTCTTTTCAGATTAAAAAGTTTATATATTGTGGCAGGAAGATTTTGATTTCAAATAACATTCAAATATACAATGCCTTATATCTTAGCATTGGAAAGTTAAGGCTGTCTAAAAAGTGTATACTAAATCACCATTTTTTATTCGGAAAGTCCAGATAGTTAAATGCCTCTTATGTTTACAAAGCAGAATAAGATTAAAAGACATGAGGTGAAGGAAAGTAAAAACAACGTTGGTGTTGAGGCACTTTCAGAGAATGGCAAACAAAAAAAAAGGAAAAGGCCCTGCAGAGACAGAGGGAGACGCAGCCAGTGAGTGTGGGTGGCTGATGGATGCAGGGATGCTGGCTGAATGTGTGTGTGTGTGTGTGTGTGTGTGTGTGTGTGTGTGTGTGTGTGTGTGTGTGGCAGGGTGGATGGTTTTTGGTGCGTCATTAATCAACAACACCTCCCCTGACACTGTCTAGACAGCCGTCAGAGAGCTGCCCCGCTCTGTTGCGCTCTGCTCCTTCTATCTATCTACCCCCCACCCATGCTCTTTCTATCATCTGTCTCTCTCTCTCTTTCTGTCTCTTTCAGCCCCCAACCTTCTTTTTCTCTCCAGCGTTGTTTCTCCCCTTGCTTTCTTTACTCACATGGCTCATTATTCCTCTTTCCTTTCTCTGTTTCTCTCTTGTATCTGTCGCCTTTTTTTTTTAACCGTTATGGTTCCACTCTTTTTTTCCTGCTATCCATTTCAGTTGGCCCAGTTGTCCACCTTACATACAGGTATTAAGAATATGTTGTCGTCTTCACCCAGACCCTCTGGTTATTAGAGCCACAGTCACTAATTGAAAGGGGGTCCCTCTGTTAGTGACTCTCAACCTCGGAAATGTGTAGAGTTTGATCAGGATGTTTGATATTGTAAAGTGGATCATATCATTACAGAATGGTTCACTGAATAAAAAAAAAAATCTAACAAAGGCTGTGGTGAATGTTCTCTTTTCACAGGGCATCTTGCTTTTACTTTAAGTTACACTGGATTGGCTGTAAGAGCTAACTGGTTCTGTGTTCTTAGTCCTGCAACAGGGTTATTAGTCATTGTTTGCATAAAAGTCAATTATACTGTACTTATCTCTATCGACTTTTAAAAAAAATATTGGGATGTAGGAGGTTGCCTAAATTAAAAACTTTTTTAAAAAAAAGGAAATATTAAAAGATATAGATTTCTTAAAGAAATCTGGAAATATAGGACAGAATCAGCTCAAGGCGAGGCATACATCTGAAGTGAGCACAGTTTTGAGTACACTCATTTTATGTGTACCACAATTTAAATATATAAAAGCAGTACCAACAGTTATTTTTTATTCCTTTGTAATTTCTATGTAAATAGTTAAACGCATGAAGAGGAAACATACTTTTTTGCTACAGCTACATATCAAACACACACATCAGTTTGATATGATTTTTTTACACTTGCCATATAGTTTAGTGTGAATTTCTTGATGCTTCATGACTCCTAATCATACTTCCTTTGGGACCCCTTTTCTTGTTTTCTCATATTTTTTTCAATTTCCTTCTGTCTTTCTCACAGGTATTATATGCTCCCCAGGCTAGGGATCGCTTCACCGCTCCCTCTTTCATGCAGCAGGATCGCTTCAGCCGCTTCCAGCCCACCTACCCCTACATGCAGCACCAGATCGACCTGCCACCCACCATATCGTTGTCAGACGGGGAGGAGCCCCCACCCTACCAGGGGCCCTGCACCCTGCAACTGCGCGATCCCGAACAGCAGATGGAGCTCAACCGCGAGTCGGTGCGGGCGCCGCCCAACCGGACCATCTACGACAGCGACCTGATCGACATGGGCGGAAGCGGCGCCCTGGTAGGTGTGGTCGGAGGAGGGGGGAGCGTCGGGGGGGGAGGCCCGAGGCCACCCAGCAGTAACTCGGGCATCAGCGTGGCCAACTCCAGCAGCCACGGACGCATGGAGGGCCCTCCCCCGGCGTACAGCGAGGTGATGGGCCACTATCCGGGCTCAGCGTTCTTTCTACACCAGCACAGCAATAACCAGAGAGTCGGGAGGCCGGGAGGCAGGACGATCCAGCAGCAGAGCCCCTCAGAAAGCACAATAGTACCCGCCAAGAACGGCCAACCAGAGGACCTGGTCTGAGGAAAAAAAGTGTGAGCGGGCAGGCGGGGCGACCCGTAACGGACTGAAAACTGTGTCTCTTGTTCAGCCCTCACCCGTAAGCATCGGTCCGTGTGTTGATCTGTCGCTCTCCGTCTCTTTCATGTGTTCTCTCCACACTCCCACGCACAAAAAGATTCAATCGAGCAACACGAAACAACGGAAGGGAAAAACCAGGATTTGATTTCATGTCGTTTTTGTTTTTTACGGTCATTCAAACAGCTTGCACAGCTGGAGCAGGATGTATGCACTGGTGGAGATCTTTTTACACGCCATCATTTTTGAAAAAGAAACACCATGCCAGCACAGACTGAAACAAGTTTTTTTTTTTCTTTCTTTTTTTGCCAGTTTGGGTGATACCTCTGTCCAAGAAAACTGAGCAGTATGTTTTTCTGGGTTTAGTTTTTTTTGTTCTTTTCCTTTATCCATTTTGTTTGGTTTTCTTAGACCGGGATCTGTGCACAAAGCGAGAACTGAGGGATCTAGGACTTACAGAGAACACATAAACAAGAGATTTGCAAACCCAAATCTTAGTGCCAAGGTTCACAAGGAAGCCAAGCAACGGGGGGAAATGATACATTCTAACATTTACAACACAGAAAATAAGAATTATCTAAAAGTTGCACTTTTTTTGTAGAAGAGAGAGTGAAAATATGTCATGTAATGATGTTTGTTTGTATTCTCTCTTTTTTTAATGTATTTTGCTTTTTTTGGAGGGTGAGGTGTTAATGGATCGAATGACTGAACTGGCTCCAAAGTTCTTAAACAATCGGGGGCAAAACAGAAAAACTAAACGGAAAAACTAAAAAGGCTGAGCTTTATGTCCTTACTTGTTTTTGTTGTGTTTTTTTTAAGTATAAGATATACCTGTACCCGGCTTACAACACCTCTGTTTGCTTACAGCATAGGTGAACTGAAACCTTATGAGTGAATGACCTTTTTTACTGCTTCATATTCATGTTCCTGTCAGCCTTATTGGAGAGGAAATCTGCCTTGGGACACAGTTGGACGGACGAGATATGTTTAATTTCCTCTGGCAATTCACATTTTCCTAATTTTTTGCAAGCCAGAGTATTACTTCTGCTTAGCAATATCCAGTATAATCAAATAAATGTATATCTGGCCAGCTATTGTAATCATATCCTCCGTATCCAACAGAAAAGCTCCATATCCAAGAAAACATGCAATTGTCCATTTAGCAGTTTTAAGTCAGTTAAAGCCAAATTTCCTCCTCCCAAATATATCCAAACCATTCAGCACCTAACACTTCCTCTTCCTGCATCCCTCCCCTTTCGATTCACCTGTACCGCACATCTCGACCCACACAGGGTATTCTTCCAAAACCCTTCAGAAGCTCGAGTCTGTGCTGTCATGACAACAACACAAAAGAAGGCTCGGCTCTCTCTTCGTGTCAATTAAGCCACAAAAAAATGATAATCCTCAATCAAGTGTGCGACAGAAACTGACTAGTTAAAGCCAAAGGGCTATCGGCGGGTCCTGTTTTTTTCTAAACAACGAAAATCTTTTTTGAAAATCTAGCCTGTTTATGCTCATTGTTGCCTTTTCCTCTGCCGTTGTGATTTCTTTCTTTCTTTCTTTCCCCCATCCCCGTAGCATCCAATCCCTTCATCCCCTTCTCTCATCTTTACTTTTTAACACTCTCTCTATTAAACCCGTTTCATCACCCCTCCCTTTATCCATGTGCAGAAAATGTGTGGTCAGGTAATGCACCACCAAGCCCTTTAATATGGAGACTGGACTATTACCCATGTTTAGCAGCATACTAACAAAGTCCTCTGTTCACAGTTAGAAGAATAAGTATGTTTGTGTGTGGGTGTGTGTGTGTGTGTGTGTGTTTGATGGTAATACGTTTGACAACACTGAAAAGCATTTAATGCTCCTAAGATATTACATATGTTCTGTGTATGTGCAGCTGAGTGACCTAATAGCTGACCACTTTGAGTGAAAGATTCATGGACATTGGTCTTTATTATCAACAAAAATATCTCTTAAGCTTTCATTGGAACCCAGTGGAGCCTCTTTCATACAAATAGAATAGCATGATGGTGTATTATCAAAGAAAGTGTACACCACAGTCCAGTCAACCTAACGTATTCCAATAAAGCTGCACTAAAAATTCCACCTGTTAGAATCTTAGCAATGGCTCTTACGTACTGCTTGAAGATACAAGGCTAGCACTGAGAATAGGCCTAAACATGTATTGATTTATTTTAAAAATGTCCATTTGTAAAGGGATGTGTAAATGTGCATTGATGTACCTCAGAGCAGCTTTGTGTTGGTATTTCTATATATTTTTGATAATGGAAGAATTGTCCTGAAAACTCTTTCTGACCATCATTTATAATCAAACTGACACTATCAGAGTAACAGTAATATATCTGAACAATTGGACACAGCTGTTTGGTTTTTTTGCCACCATTACTGAGAGCAAATGAAAAAACTATTAACCAATAGCGGATACCATTGTCTGATTAATAACTGTTTCTTTGGTATTGCAGATTTCTTTCAGCAACATGACGATGTAATGAGTCCATAAAAGCAGTTCTAGGCATTTTCTTCTTGGAGGAATACATTTCTCTGTGTAAATTGTGCTTCGCTCAAAGACAAATTATAGAGCTTGATGGCATAATGGGTTGAGCGGCAACAGGCTTTTGTACAGGTTTGGATGGTTTGGATATTTTTTAGATTTATTGACACGTTGAAGAATATTAAGTACACCCAGGCTTAACTGGTTTAATCACTTTTTGTCCTTTCTAGATGCAACAAAATTTGCGTTTGTATTACAGAAGCGGGCAGAAATGCTTAAATAAGGCTGCCACATTAAAAAAAAACATTCAGTCGAGGTCACGTGTGAGGTGTATTTTAGGGCAATGCTAATGTCTACTACATTAGCATTGCCCTAAAATACACCTCACACGTGATGATTTTGTGTTAAGACATCAAATCAGGAAACTAAGTGATGTGCCTAAATATCCGTACGTTCCCTACCGTGGTCACTCTCACCTGTTGTTGGATTCCACGTTCAGCAGACATCATTAGGATGGTGGTTTTGGTTGGTTTTGGTTAATCCGCTCTGCAGCAGTGTGTTTGAATGTATGCATGTGTCTGGTATGTTTCAGATCGATAGTTCGTTACTACATTGCTGCTGTAATCGCCGTTGCTGCTGCTACAATTGTTTCTATCGCTGCTTCTCACACCTACTCTCACCTCCCGCTCACTCTCCTCTCTCCATCCCTTCTCCCTTGATTCACCAAGACCTAAAAGAAGAAGTCTGACCCTTCGCAGCCAAAGCTTCAAGTATCTAAACCCCTTGTTTCGCTCATTTCTGAAAAGTGGAGGCATGTACGCCCGTTCTAATACTTTGTCCTCTACCTGTACTAAGCTCTTTCAAACCCACATTTTCTTCCATGTTTCGTCCCCGCTTATTCCCTTTTATTTCCAGATTGTTTTTACCGCGCAGTCAAAGCTTGTAAAATTGAGGGTGAAAAGATCTTTTTATTTTTTTTTTTGTTTTTTTATAAGATGTTTGCATGTTACGATTTACGTGAGTAAATAAGGTGCCTATCGTTCATGTTTGAGCAGATCACACCTCAGTCCCACTGCTGCTCAGAATCCACGCAGGCGCTTTATCTGAGCGGGCGTCACCCCTCCCTCGGTTTGGATACAAACGTATGCAAGGACAGGTAAAAATGGATTGTATCCTGTTTATTCGAATACTGGACGGATCGGAGACCTGCTCGATATTTTGAAATGGACATTGTCAACCTTACGTTGAACTGAATCTTACGGAGCCCCCTAGGGGACATGGGGAATTTTTTTTCTCTTGCGTTCCCTCGCAATACTTTTGCGTTCCCTCGCAAAAGTAAATAATCTTAATTCACCATAAATACTGTATGCTTGGTCATATGTATATATCTTTAGCTTCATTTATGATAAGTATGTCAAATATGAATCGTGTCCGTTGGAAGAAAAGCTAGCTCAGACATCCGTTCGCTTGCTTAAAGAAAGAGTGACGAGGCGGGGGATGCAAGGTTAATTTCGTTAACGATGATGATAACTAAATTATTTTGTTGACGACCATTTTTTAAATGACAATAACTAGACTATACAACTTAATCAGGCTAAAGTTGACTTCATTCCGCTACGCCACTAGTTTAGCGGTGTCACTGTTATATATATAGAACGTACGGGGATGTATGGCAGGGCTAGGACTGACACCATCTTTAAAAATACAGAATCGTTCTTTATTTGGCAGTTAAATGATGCTGAAACATGAGAATTATCAAAGCAAGCAAAACCTTCGTGGCGGGACCTGCTACGGACTGGTTATGCCTTCAGGTCACGGTTATGTCACGGTTGCTTTTGCGTTCCCTCGCAATAGGTTTTGCGAGGGAACGCAAAAATATTGCGAGGGAACGCAAAAGCAAAAAAAAATTCCCCATGTCCCCTAGGGGGCTCCGTAGAATCTGATCCTGAAATTCGTTACAGGCCCGTAAAAATACACACATTCAGTGACCACAGCAGAACTCCTCCTTTAGCATTTGAAGCTATGGTCATATACTCACCGGTCATCGTGGCGAGCAGGAGTGACCTCTCCCCATGAAGCCGCTGTAGCCATTCTAAGCAGTAATGCGACCTACGTGTGGAGCAGACATAGGAACCCACTTGCACTCAAAAAAAGCTCCCACCTTTGTTGTGCCTCACTTCCAACGGTGCTTTTTTCAGTAGTCTGTCTTTCTTTGTTTGTTTTGTAAGGTGCTGTACATAAACTTGAATATATTATGCACATATCCCTACCCAATGGGTAGAAAACCACAAAAAAGATTATGTGAATAATGTAAGATAATGTATAGACAATATAAGAATTTTAAGAAAGGCAGCCTCAAATTTGTAAATGCGTACAGTTGAAAAAAAAAAAAAAAG